CCGGGGTGTCCAGGTTTATGGATCTTGGGAAGCAGTTAGAACAATCCTGGTCGGGGGTCAGAAGGTGTTTCTGTGTAGATTTGTTCCCGAGTAGCTGTGGGGAGGCTTTTAAGGAGACAGTGTAGTTTCTTTTGGTATTCCGAGGTGGAATCAGAGGAGAGAGGTTTGTAAAATGTGGTGTTGGGAGAGTTGTCTGGTTGCCTCCTGGTTATAGTCGGCCTTATTCATAATGACCAGAGCACCCCCTTTGTCAGCTGGTTTGATTATAATGTCCAGGTTGTTTTTGAGACTCTGGATGGCATGGTGTTCAGTGCGGCTGAGATTGTGTGTCACTTGTCATTTGCGAATAATGTCAGTCTGTGTGTTGTTGAGGAAGCTTTGTATATAGAAATCCAGATTGTAATTCCAACCGTCAGGGGGAGTCCATATAGAATTATTTTTCCTTTGGTGTTGATAGGGGGGATCTGGTAGGTCAGATTGATGTTCATTGGTGGTTTGGAAATATTCTCGGAGGTGGAGGCGGCGAAAAAAAGCCTAAAGGTCACCACAAAATTGTAATTGATAGCACAGAGGAGAGCCACCTGTTTGCTTATCCTCTTCCAATTATGACCCCAGGTGTGCTGCCCCATTTGTGATGGGGGCTTGAAGAGATCATCTCAGAGAATGGACATGCTGTGGGGGGGAGTGAGCCCATGCTGATTGTGCACATCTGTGACCCTTCATCATGAACTGTTGCCCCCCCTTCCAGGCTAATGTGGCAAAGGAGGGCTGCAGTTTGTGTGTTGTGCAGAAGGGGAGAGAGTAACCCTGTGATGACTCTGTGTACCCATAGCCCTCCACCCCACACCTGCTGCCACCCCTCCCTTTGGAAATGCAAACACCAATGAGGGCTGTAATTAGCACGGGAAGGTTACTCACCTTGTGTAGTAATTGGAGTTCTTTGAGATGGTTATCCCCATGGGTGCTCCATCTTAGGTGCGCCAGGGCTGCTGTGCCCATGATTGGCAGATTCTTAGTAGCAGTGCCCCTCCAGTTGGCTGTGCACATGGAACACTGGCACGTGACAGTATGCACAGCCAACTGCCTACTCAGTTCCTTCTCTGACCCGGACGCAATTGGATCCAAAGCCAAGGCGAGGAGGGTGGATGGTGGAGCACCCACTGGGACAACCATCTCAAAGAACTCCAGTTACTGCACGAGGTGAGTAACCTTCCCTTCTTCTTCGAAGAGTGTCCCCATGGGTGCTCCATGTTAGGTGACTACAAATCAGTGGTGAGCACTTAGGTTGTGCTAGCTCAGTAGTTGCGAGAACAGTTCGCCCAAACCACGTGTCCATATCTGCAAGTGCCTGAATAGTGTAATGTTGCGTGAATGTGAGTGCTGAGGCCCAGGTTACGGCCTTGCATATGTCCTCATATAGTATCCCCTTAAGGAAGGCAGTCGTAGCTGCCATTGCTCTTGTAGAGTGACCCTTATGTTGGCAGGCACTTCCTTGTGGAATATGTTGTCAGCTAGTCATATGTACTCCCATATCCATTTTGATAGTCTTTGCTTGGATATGTGTAACCCTCTTGGTCTTTTCATAGATGACCCAAAGAGTTGTGTTGTAGATAAAATGCTATCACTCTGTGGCCATCTTGCATGCATAGTGCCTTTCCCTGCCATTTTTGTGTGGCTTGGGGGAGAAGACAGGTAAGGGTATTGGTTCATTGCAATGAAACAAGATAAGTACTTCAGCCAGGAATTTAGGGCGTATACATAGTACAGCCTTGTCTTTCTAGAATACCATGTAGGGTGGTAGTGTCATGAGTGCACTTATCTCCCCCATCCTTCTTGTGGTGGTAATTGCCATCAGAAATGCCACCTTCATGGATAAGTGTAGAAGGGAGCAAGTGGCCAGTGGCTTAAAGGGTTTGCCCATAAGAGTCCTTAAGACCAAATTATGGTCCCATGCAGCACTCAAGTCCTGTCTTGTTGGAAACACATTCTGCATGACTCGAAGGAATCTTGGTAGATGGGTGAGAGAAGGCCAGATATCCTTGTATTTGTGTGTGTCATGCTGCTATGGAGGTGAGATGTCCTCTGAGTGAGCTCAGTGATAAACCCATCTTGTGCAGGTGTAGGCCAGAACATCTGAGATTGTGTGCTAAGCACCAAAGTGTAAAGCAATGCCATTTCTGTCTTTCTGGTTGCAGGCCTGCAGTAATGATGAGGATTTGTTGCACCTTCTTGCCAGGGGTGATCATTAGTTACCCCTGCTGTTTTTTGCAGGTGGCTCAGCTGGAGCCGGCCCTGGGCTGGTTCTAAACAGTGATAAGCTAGCTCAAGGCCTCCTTAGCTGCATAAACAAGATTTTTTTTTATTTTAATAATGGAGATTGCCTATGTCCTAGAACTGGAAGGGACCTTGAAAGGTAATTGAGTCCAGTCCCCTGCCTTCACAGCAGGACCAAGTACCATCCCTGACAAATTTTTGCCCCAAATGGCCTCCATAAGGATTGAACTCACAACCCTGGGTTTAGTAGGCCAATGCTCAAACCACTGAGCCATCCCTCCCCCAAGGACAATTACACCCAAGGACATGTGTGGGAATGGGATAGCCATGGTGCTTCTTGCTAGAATGTGCCTGTAAATGTTTGAGCTTCTCAGAAATAAAGTTATAAAACAGCTGAAAGGCCCTGCTTGAATGGTCAGTCCCACCTGTGGATCTAGGCCATGTGGATGCCCAGGAGTACCAGCCCTCGGGAGCACGGAGGGGAGGGCCAGGGACTGGCAGTAGCCAAAGAGGCGTAAGCATTGGATCCTTGCTCACCTGTTTGCTCGCTTGCTTGCTTAATTACCTGCTTCTCTGCGCTGAGACGCACATATTTAGTAATGCGTGAAGGCTGTATGGCGTAATATGCTTTGGCAATAAGACCTCTTGGCTGCGTCTAGACTGGCAAGATTTTCCGCAAGCGCAAAAACTTGCCAGCTGTCTACAGTGGCCGCTTGATTTTGCGCAAAAGCACTGACGTTCTACTACCCGAAATCAGTGCTGCTTGCAGAAATGCTTTGACGTTCCCATTCGGGCAAAACCCTTTTCCAGAAATGTTTTTGCCCAAGAGGGCCAGTGTAGACAGCTAAAAACTGTTTTGCGCAAAAAAGCCCTTATGGCGAAAATGGCTATCGGGGCTTTCTTGCGCAAAACCACGTCTAGATTGGCACGGATGCTTTTCCGCAAAAAGTGCTTTTGCGGAAAAGCGTCTGTGTCAATCTAGACGTTCTTTTCTGCAAATGCTTTTAACGGAAAAGTTTTTCCGTTAAAAGCATTTGCGGAAAATCGTGCCAGTCTAGACGTAGCCCTTATGTTTATGCACCTGGCATGGCTTCACTGAGTGTATCCGAGCCTCCTGATAGAGCAACATCTGGTGTAGTCGGCAGGATACACTTGGTGACACCCCCAGGGGGAAGGCTGTAGTTAGATGTGGGGCAAGTGGGGATGTGGGGTTGTGGGCGACAAGATACCAGGCTGGAGTGGTATGTCGCGCTGGGTACCGGTGGCCAAGTTGCTGCGCCGTGTAGCTGCCCCGGTTGGATGGGACAGGAACGAAGTTCCCCTCATCCCGGCTGCTTTGGCTGAGCAGATGGAGAAAGCAGTGGAGCTATATGCTCACAATAAGCTTTACAAAGATTGGGGGTGGGGATGGTTGTTCCTGACTGTAATAGAAAAGGTAACAGCAGATGTTGAGCAGTTACAGCTGAGTGTGAACATCCTAACGGACGACAAGCAAATCCTCAAGGATAAGAACAAGATGTTGACTGAAGCTCTGGAAGCAACTCAGCAGAGGGCCCACAAACAGCCTGAGGGGCTGCTACAACTGCCAGAACCTTTGAAAAGACTCTTAGGGCTGTCGAGAGTCCGAAGGGCAGCACTGTGTTGAAAATGTTGATCTTTTATGGTGAATCTTAGAAAAAACGTCTGTGGGATGGATGGATGGTTATGTGAAGATACCCATCCTGGAAATCAAGGGTGGGCAGCCGGTCTCCCTTCTCTAAAGGCAGGAGAATGATGGTGGCTGGAGTTACCATGTTGAATTGCTGATAAATGAAGGGGGTTGAGTTTTCGAAGATCCAGAATTGGCCTCCAATCCTGTGGCTTCTTGGATGCATGCAAGTAGTGAGAGTAGAAGCCCCTCCCTCTGTGCTCTGCTGAGAGCTCTTCTATTGCTTCTAGTTATAAGAAGTGTTGAGCTTCTTGTACAAGCACATGCTTGTGAGGGGGTCCCTGAAAAGGGACGGGGAGGAGGGTTGTGGATAGATGATACAGCATAGGATGCAGTAACCCATTTGGATGATCTTTGTACCCACTTGTCTGTATTGATGGTGCTGAATAAACGCAGTGAGTCTGCTGATGAGTGTTGTAGATTTCAATTGCTCTTGATTGCCTGCCAGATGATCTGCCTCAAGCTCCCACCCCAGCAGAAACTTTCTGCCCTTACTGTCAACAAATATTAATTTTCCAGGCTGGAAAGAAAATTCTGTCATGCAGCTTTCTGAAAAGACCAGAGTTCCTAAAGATGTGCACATCACACACCTTTATCGATCATCACACAGTGATGTTGGTGAAACAGTCCTGGTGATCCAGCAGCACTTGTAACACTATTGAGAAGTATTCCTTGCTGTTTATGTACTCTCCCTATGGTCTGATAGCAAATAGGGATGTCTTGTCATCTCACCAGAGTCAAAAGCCACTTATCAATCTCCTTGAGATAAGGAAGGGATACAGATACAGTATCCAGTAATGTGTGCGCTTCTATACTAGATGAGGTTTTTTACATCCACCATGGGGTTCAGGCCATCACTGCTCTTGGAAGATCAGAAAACTGTGGGAATTAAATCTTCCCAGCCTGCATTCCTTTTAAAACTTCAGTTTTATTGTACACTCAATGCTGCTATTAAAAACAGACTAAAACACAGTGGACTATCACAGGATTTTCTTTGAAAAAGTAGACAAAAGCAATGTCCAAGGTAGCTTTTTATTAAAATATTAAAGCATAACATTTCACCAAATACAAGAAATTCAGATTTCTATGGCATACCAATCAGCGTCAACAGGAAAATTTTCTATTTTATATATAGTAAATCTGATATTACTTAATGTAATGTATATGAGCACATGCTTTAAAATGGTCAAAATACAGTGTCACAAAATAAGTATCTTGACATTTTTAAAGTCTGAGAAATAATTCAAAAAGGTGAGAGTATTGAATTTCCAACAAATGCTACACAATCACAAGCTTAGGGCATAATTATTCCAGAAAACCAACATCATTACTTCATGCCTGATCAAGTACGTTGAGTTTCACTGGGATTCTAATTTTGAACTTTGCTTCACATTTTAAAAAATAAGACATTTGAGATGTGAAAAACTAAGTTCAGTCTTCACAGTATTATTATATGGGTTGTTTGCCACATCCTACTTTATTGCCTGAAAGTTTTACAATTTTTACAAAACTAGTTTTCATCCCTCTTTTGGTTTCAGAAATATAGCATATCTGATGAATAAAATAGGAATTTATTGATGAATAATACAGGGACATGAATGCATATGTAGAACTATTTCCGAATAATAAATCCTTTCAGTAATACAGCTATGAGACAAGTTAAACACAGTACAATAAACCATGCATCTTTTGACTTGTCAGATCAGCTAAACTACTTACTTGGCTAACATACAGCAATAATTACATATTTTAGTAAATTAGATTCACTGAATAAAAGAAAAAACAATCACATTTGTTCACTTGGTTCAAGGCTGTCCAAATGCTTTTTATTTGCATCTTCACTATGACGGCTTTGGCAATGGGTTAAATGTTTCTTAAAGCCTCTGGGAAAATTTGATTCAAAATTACAACGTGGACATTTAAGCAAACTTTGACCATGAGCAGCAACATGATTTTTAAGTAGAGACTCCAAAAGAAAAGCCTTTCCACATATTTTACATTTGTAGGGGCTTTGAACATTATGCTTGTTAACTAAATGATGCAAAACAGCACCTTTTTTCATTGCACGACAGCAACAAATTTTGCAATAATACTTTCCCTTTCCACGCTTCATGTATTTTGCTATCTCTTCTTCTGAGATGAAAGCTTCTTTCTCTTCGGTAAACTGCAGTACGCATTGTGGCTGAATAGGAGTAGTTGTATCTACTTTGCTCTCTTTGTTGTAATCAGATGGTTCCATATCAAACTGTTCTTGATCACTATTTGATTCTTGTTCCTTTACCTCCACAGAATCCATCTCTGTTTTTCCACATTCACTGTTATTTAGTTCATTATCAGAGTTCTCCTGGTTTTCCTTCTTAGGCTTCTTTTTGGGACATGAATAAATCTCTTCTGAAGGCTCCTTCACTAAGATTGACTGCTCTTCCTGAGACAATAGATCATCCAGTGTTTTTTGATCTTCTAAACTCTGAGCTAGGAAACCACTCTCGTTGGATTCAATAGATGTCTGCAGCTCAGAGGAAACAGCTGGAGTAGGTTTGAGAGGCTCAGGGAAAAGAACATTTTTCTGGACCTCAGAGGGAACAGAAGGAGCAGGTTTGTGGGGATCAGTAGAAAGAGCATGTTTCTGGACATCAGATGAAACAGCAGGTGGTTTCTGGATCTCAGAAAACAGAGTATGCTTCTGAACATCAGGAGAAATACCACATTTCTGTGGCTCAGGAAAAAAGGCTTGTTTGTGTGTCTCAGGGGAAACAGCAGGAGCAGGTTTCTGGGATTCTGTAAAGAGGGCATATTTCTGCACCTCAGGAGAAACAGTACTAGCAGGTTTCTGAGACTCAGCAAAGGGGACAGGTTTCTGGATCTCAGGGGAGGCAGCAGGAGAAACTTTATGAGGCTCTGGCAAGCAAGTATGTTCCTGGACTTCAGGGGAAGCAGCATCAAGTTTCTGAGGCTCTGGAAAGAAGGCATGTTTCTGCACTTCAGGAGAGAAAGGAACAGGTTTCTGGGACTCAGTAAAGGGGGCATTTTTCTGGACTTCAGGAGAAACAGGAAGAGCAGATATTTGAGGCTCGGGGAAGAAAGCACGTTTTTGTACCTCAGACGAAGCAGCAGAAGCAGATTTTCGAGGCTCTGAGAAGAGGGCTCTTTTCCGGGATTCAGGGAAGAGGGACCGTTTTTGTCCCTCAGGGGAAATGGAGGGAGCAGACTTTTGAGTCTCAGAGAAGAAGGTTGACTTCCGGGACTCAGATGAAAGTTTCCAGGGCTCAGGAGACAATGAGGGAGCAGGTTTGCGAAGATCAGAAAACAAAGATGATTTCCAAACTTCAGAGGAAACAGTGTGACTAGGTTTTCGGAGTTCGGGTGAAACAGGGGGAGCAGGCATCCAAGTATCAGGAGAAAGAACAGGTTTCCAGCCTTCGGGGTATACAGAGGAGATGGGTTTCCATGGCTCAGATGAAACAGATTTCTGGGAATCAGAAAAGGATGTAGGTTTCCACGGGTCAGGAGCAGGCCTCCGTGGCTCAGGGGACACCACCGGGGCTGGCCTTCGTGGCTCAGGGGTCACCACTGGGGCAGGTTTTTGTGGCCAGGGAGAGGCGGCAGCAGCAGCAGATTTCTGTAGCTCATGAGAAATAGCAGTGGCAGGTCTCCAGGATTCAGGAGAAACTGAGGGAGCAGGCCTCCATGCTTCTGGGGAAATTGTAGAAGCAGGCCTGCGAGGCTCAGGAGACAAAGCAGGAGCAGGCCTCCGTGTCTGAGTCATATGCCTGCGTGGTTCTGGAGACACTGCTGGGGAACGCCTGCGAGGCTCAGGGGAAACTGCTGGTGAACGCCTGCGGGGCTCAGGGGAAACCGCTGGGGCGGGCTTCTGAGGCTCTGGGAACACTGCTGGTGAACGCTTTCGGGGCTCAGGGGAAACTGCTGGTGAACGCCTGCGGGGCTCTGGGGACACCGCCGGGGCAGGCTTCTGGGGCTCAGGAGACACCGCTGGGGCAGGCTTCTGGGGCTCAGGAGACACCGCTGAGGAATGCCTAATGGAATCAGGAGATACTGCCAAGGCAGGCTTCTGGGGCTCAGGGGACACTGCTGGGGCCAGCTTCTCAGGTTCAGGAGATCCCACTGAGGCTGGCTTCTCCAGCTCAGGGGACACTGATGGTTTCTGAAGTTTGGGGGAAATAACTGGGTCAGGTTTGGGGAGTTCTGGGGAAAGGGCAGGCTTGTGTGATTCAGGTGAAAGAGCATGTTTTTGTGGTTCCTGAATGAGCGCTGTTTTCAAGGATTCAGTCTCAGCTTCTAACTGATCTTTCTGGTCTTCATTCCACTTTTCAGGTACTGCATGTTGTGATGTGATGTGATAATAAACATTGCAATACATCTTGCTGGTAAAGAAACATTTGTGACAGTGGAAAAGTTTTGCACTTTTCTGATAAAATATAAGTTTACCTAAACCAGCAGCATCCATTTCATCACAATACTCTGGGTGAATGGTACCCATATGAATTTGTATATTTTCATAATCTGTTCCTCTGAAACTACAGTGATCACATTCTAAACGCTCTGATGTTTTACGCAGTATCTGGAACATTTCCATTTTTCTATGGTAAGTTGCAGCTTGCACAGCACTACAAATCTCAAACAGCAAACTTCAGTATTCCTGCAATAGAGATAAAGGATTGCATATTTAGCTCATATAATAATAAATTTACTTTTAAAATGTTTATTCATTTTTAATTAGTTTGATATATACTTCTCTTTTTCTAGAATAAAAATTAAAGCCAGTTAAATCAAGCCAATCCAGACATTTACAAACTATCAAGTCAGTTACAAAAACTAATCACCAGTTGAATTTTTTTCTACACAAAATCCACTTACTTCTCCTACATAGCAAATTTATATATGAATGTAATAAATTATTTTGCTCAAGGAGTTAATAACTTTGGTATGGTTATAACCTCCTGCATGAAGAAATACAAACGCAGATATCCCCTAGGTCTGCAAGTCACTGCACAGAGAGATTGTGTAAGTAATTTAAATTGTTTACCACACGACCTTGATTGCTATTATCTATCAGCAGAGGAACTTTACAAATAAACCACATTCAAAGGACCTATGTAACAAATATCTAGCTCGTGCCATCACATTCAACTGACAACACTTCTTTGCTTGACCTGAGGCTAATACTTATACTACATTTCATCTGAAAATTAGAGAGCACTTTATGCATTTCACAAAGGTGGAAACAGGATCATACAGTCCTGATTCTCTGGTTTCTCTTCAACTCATAAATCTTTCACCTTTTACTAAACCCTACTTTCCATACAGTAACTATTTTTCATGAGAAAGCATTTGACACATACAAAATGACAGTCAGATACAAAACCATTCTGTTGTCTGAAGTCTACCTGCTACTGTTATACTTAGAATTACCAACACTGAAAAAGGAGAGAAAAAAATATTTCCTATTTAGGTTTGCATTTGACAGTCCTCTGTATATATGATTTCTGCAACTGATGGAGGATCTTTTACACCAGGGAAAGGGAATAACATTTATAAAATAAAAAATTGTGACTGTAAAAACAAAACAAAATCACAAAGAGATTAATACAGATAATGCATGTAAAACTTAACTAATTTTAAAAAAGGACTAGATTTCAACTGAATGTCTCTAATAGTGAAAAGTAATAATGTAATAAGATCTCCGGATAAATTATTGTTGTAAACAGAAGACCGAATTTAACTGTAGTTACCATTTTCACCTGTTTTTAGGTATCCTTTAAGCTAGGAGAAAAATATCTGTATGGTAGTAAATTATTTATTTGTATTGAGGTAGTGCCTATAGGATACCCAGCCTGGAAATAACAGTCAGTGTTCTCAGACTGAGAAAAAAATCCTTCACAAATGTACAGAAAAATCATCATACAATTGTACCTAAAAAATGGAGCCTTTTTCTTTGTGGAAGACATGGCTTTGATGTATTTATATTCTGAAACCTCAGAAACTGAATGGGAAATGTGAGTTAAAAAAATTGGGATTTTGTGTTTTATTTTAATCCTTATTATAATTCTGGATGGTCTTACTATCCATATTAAATATTCAACCCTTTTATGAATCCTGCTAAGCTACTGGTTTGAACAGTTTGTGCTAATAAGTTCCACAGGTGATATGTACATTATGTGAAAACTATTTTCTTTGAGGTGTACTAAATGTGTTGCTTTTTAACTTTATGAACACTTTATCCATGTATTGCAAGAAAGAATGAAGATGTGTATGTTTTCTATACCACTTATTATATATACACATCTTATTATATCCCCCTCTATATTAAACCATCTGAAATTTCTTCACCATCTTTTCATATGGATCTGTTCTATAATTTTTGTTCTCAGACTTCTTTTTCTCTTCATCTGCAATCGTTTTCAGAATTTCTGGATATATGGTATATTACTAACCCTTCTTGGGAAGTTGAATTATTGATGTGAATTTCTGTGGTTTGAGACTATTCTTTGGTGTTGCATTGTCTCACAAATGAAGCATAAAAATAAGGTAAGTCTGTAACAGAGTGGGAGTTACATTTTGTATTGTAAACATCACATTGTGCATTGTAAACATCACATTGTGCTATGTGCTTTACAGGTGTAACATTGACGAAGACTGTTTACACTACAGATTTTAGAGCTGCACAGCTGTACTGCTACAAGATTTATATGGAACTGCCCCAGGTAAACCACCCACACCCCAATCCCAGACCTGAGCCCTTCCCACACTGTCACCTCCCAGACCCTGCACCCTTGCCTTGAGCCCCCTTCCACACCATAACATCCTCCCAGACCACACACCCCTATCCTGAGCCCCAGCTGAGCCTGGTCCACTACTCTCTCCTAGATCCTACACCCCAATCCTGATTCCCCCTCCTGCAACCAAACTTCTGCCTAATCAAGCACCTCCACCCCAACCTTCTGCCCTAAGACTGCTTTAGTGCTCCAAACCCCATGCCTCAGCCTGGAACCCCCTCCTACATCCCAAATACCTCATCCACAGCCCCACCACAGGGCCTGCACCAGCAGTCAGAACCCTCATCCCCCCCAACTCTAAGCCTCCTTCTACACTCCGAACCCCTCAGCACCAAACCTGCTACAGATCATCCATTTACAAATGAATTTTGTTTGTTATTTGATACGTTGCATATCTTCGCCATATTGGTGCACATAGCAAAATTCATTTCACAAATGGACACACAAAATTAGAGGGAACATGGATCAGCAGTGTGCTTTTTCATACCCCTGACAAGAAATAGATCAAAATGCAAAGTAAACATAGCCTAAGAAAAGTCTATTTTAATTATTCTGAAATAATATCCTTCCCAGGGGAGGTGCTAGTCACCTCATTGAAGAACTAGACTAAAGGTCTAACAAGCTAGGACTCTGACTGTTCTTATCAGCTGACCAACTCCATGGATTTTCTACACAAAAGCATCAGCAGAGTTTGCACATCTACAGCTCCTCAGCCTGGATACATGATGAAAACAAAGAGGTCGCTACTGTGAGCAGAGGGACCATCCATCTCCACATGCAAGAAACACCAGCTGGAGAGAGAACACAGAAGGGACTTGGCCTAGCCTAAAATTTCACACACAGAAAGGCTGACAGTTGACTACAGAGTTGTGCATCTCAAGATATCTGTTAATTTGCAAAGATCTGTAACTTTAGTGCTTTCTTAAGAATAAAGTGACAAGAAATCTTGTGTTAAATAAGCAGTTTTCGTCTGGTTTGTAGAAACATGTACTTTTAAGTTATTTTCTAGAATTTGCTATATCTATATGCATTTAAGAAATTAGCTTAATGTATATTAACTTTGTTATTATAGAAAAAGGTGCATTTCTTCTTTACTACATGATCTTTTTTACTTTGCTATTCGATTTTTTTTAATTATATACATTTAACAGATTCTAGTAAATTTAGGCCTCAGCATAGATTGACATAATTCCACTTTTCATTTTAAACAGATTTATTTGAAAGAGAATTTTTAACTTAAATTCATCCCATAGCAGACAAGTAGTTTTCAGAAATATTTGAAATAGGATTAATAGCATAACATTTTCTTGGTAATATAAGGTTTATTATTTTGCAAGCAAATCAGATTCAATTTAGCTTTAAAGAAAAATTAAATTGGCAAAATCCATACATAATAGCCGAACAAATTTTCCTGAACTACTCCCTCTCACTTTATCGCATCTTAATTTCTTTCCTTACTTAATGTTCTAATTCCTTCCCTAAACTCTCCTAACATCACCGCTACTAAGGAACCTTCAGCAACTAGGGATGCAAAAGGTTAACTAGTAAGCATTAGCTTTATCAGCATGATTATCTAATTAACCAATAACCAATTAATTAACCGAAGGGCTGGGTGAAGGGAGACGCTCCCTGCAGCCAACCCAGGCACCAGGACTTCAGCAGGCCAGAATAGCCCCCAGCTTGTTGCACAGTGTGACAGAACCTGTCCAGCCAGAGCAGGGGGGATCCCTTCTGTCCAGAGAAGTCCCCCCCACACCCATGAAGAGCTGGTTGGACCCCAGCCGCACAATTAACAGGTTAAAGTATTACAATTATATTGTTAATCCAGTAAACTTTTTAAATGGATATATACATCTCTAGCACCAACTATTTATATTCCATTGCTGCCCACCTTCACAGATGTACCAAAAAGTGTGCATAGATCACACACAAACCACAGCAGGATCCACTTCCAAAACTCCACACAACAGACTTGCTCTGGGCTTCTTTATACACTTAAAAACAATTTACTGAGAGTGGCAATTTTATAAATGAAGTGCCTCTGTCCCTACAGAACACACGGGATAAAACAACTCATACCCTTGATTTTGGTAAGTGATAGGGCCTGTCCCTTAAAAACTGCCTGCTACAGAGAAACTTACTTACTTGAGATTATTGACATTGTCCTGCAGCGTTGCAATTCGGTAACACAGGCTCGTTCTGCAACTGTTTGTGTTGGTTTTCCTCGCGACTAGGGCAATGAGAATCGGCTGCGGGCTCAGGTCTGGGGGTTGAAAGGCGGCTTCAATGCCCGCTTGATAGGGCCTGTCCCTTAAAAACTGCCTGCTACAGAGAAACTTACTTACTTGAGATTATTGACATTGTCCTGCAGCGTTGCAATTCGGTAACACAGGCTCGTTCTGCAACTGTTTGTGTTGGTTTTCCTCGCGACTAGGGCAATGAGAATCGGCTGCGGGCTCAGGTCTGGGGGTTGAAAGGCGGCTTCAATGCCCGCTTTGTGTTTCCCCGCAGTAGTGCGCTGCAGCGTGTCTGT